TATTGCAATAAAACGGCAATTTCATACTTTAACCCCTAATATATCAAAGGCAGTAATTATTTAGAAAAGTTAGCAAATAGGTAACAATTCTTGAATATACACTCAGTGCCAGATGCGACAGGCGACCAGACATCCTGACGGTCACGAGTAAACGTAATGGTCGATATACGACACTTGTTCTTGACAGTATCGTCTATCGTTATAGTCATACGTGATGTGTATCCCTATATTTCCCTTAAAGTCTTAGTAACAATGGTTTTACTGACAAACTTTATAAAATATGAGGTCAAAGGTTCATTATGTTTACAGCTTTCTATCAGATAGACTAATTCGTGTAGATATGGAGACAAGTTGAGATGATTTTAATTATTGAGCGCGGCACCATTAAATACCGTACTGACCGTATTCTGGATTTAGAAATAGAAAAATGTTTATTGCAACGCTAGGTGTATAGGCACAAAAAAGAGATTAATAATACTTAGACAAAAATAGCAAAATAAAAACAATTTAAAAACTCAATAACAAAAAAACAATATAAAGTAAAATAAAACAGATAAAAAGCGATACAATATAACAACTATTACAATTCGTACTATCATTTTGCAGTTGCCGTGTACAAAACAATAGTCACTATACCACAAGAGTTTTCCTATGCATTTCAAATTATATTGTGCAGTTGTGATGTGCAGTTCGTGTGTCTACGCCTAGTGATCTACTTGTTGTGGGCTTGTGTTTCTGAGCTACTTGACACAATCTTAAAATCTCACTATAAATATCTCTTTTTGGCACAATATGTTCCAATATAAAGAGCTCATTTATGGAAAACCGTTATTTTTCTGTAATCGTTCCTTCATTGAGTTACAATTATATCCTTATCATATATTCATTCGGTTTTATAAAATTTGAGATATGAGGGATTTCTGACAATTGAGAACCAACCTTTATTGCTTCTCCAGAGTCGTTCCATGCCGTTCCGATGGAGTGCCATTCGTGATAGCTCGCAGAAGCTTTCGCGAATGTTGAAATCACATAGTGGGCTCACTTCGAAGAAGGCCATATGGTTTTTGGCGGCGTACTGCTCCGCCTCACGCTCTTGCACTTGACGCTTGAACGCTAGGTGTAATCGGTTGCCCACCAGCACTTTGGGTACGCCTGGCGCATGCTGGAATAAAGTAGCTATAAGGATTCTATGCAGGTACAAAATTGTCCATCTCCTCTGATAAACTGTCGTATCTCACGTTTTTATTGTACCTGAGGGAGACATACGATCTTGGCTAAGAGAGTCTTTCAAAGGCGAACATTCTACCCTAATTGTCTATCTTTTTAGTCATTAATAGGACGGGAATGAGACCAGCTACAGCTAATATTGGTGTGAAGTGCTACACTTGAAATATGTTACCCTGAAAAAAAAAAATTGGGTGGCAGTTACGACAGCAAGTCAGAAGACGGTCTCATCTCGAAGTGAGCCTCATTAGAACCTTAAGGGGCATAAATTCATACAATATAATATTTTTGGACAAAGAAAATTGTTGCTTTTCGACTGCTAAAATATTTTTAATTTTTTTTGAGGTGATACAACCCATATAATTATAATGACAAGTTAAGACAGACATTTAATACGAAAATTGTTTACGCAACATGACTGGTAAATTGTAAATAATATTAATGTTTAATGTAGTTTCGAGTAAAAATTGATTGGATCATCAAACAATGATTTGTTATTCAACCTAGTATTGTTTATAAATACAAATATTTATTTACTCTTTATAACACAGAGATTTCTTCTTGTGTGGTCACCAGCAACTGTCTCAAAAATTACATATAATACTTAGTAGATAATCGATCAGTACAGAATGCAAAATAGGGTTAGCATTTTTGCAAGTTTATTTTGTTACACATTTCATAACAAACATATATACACAATAAAAAAGCTTACAGTGTGATCTTGTCTCTTGTATCATCTAATCCAGTTTACAAAGAAGTTGCCATACAGGAATTACGTCCCGCTTTATGCTTAATAGAACACAAAATTAACTTTGCTTAATGATTACCTAGCAGTACTTACTTTCTCCACTTCTTCCAGCCACCTGTCAATACTGTCGAAGGACCATTTATTGGTGATGTCATAGACGAGCAGAATGCCTTGCGCTCCCCGGGAGTATGATCGGAGTATAGTGCAGAATCGGCCCTGCCCTGACGTATCCCATAGTAGGAGCTTCACTCGCTTCCCGTCCAAGAGGATAGTCGTTGTTTTATATGCTAAAATAAAGGTTATTGTTCAAATTTGATTGACACTGCTAGAGCTGTTTTTTGTTAATAAGTACATTGCACTCATTACTTACTACTTAAAATTTGTTTTCTTAAAAAAATAATTACAATCGGTCTCCTGTAATATTTTCCAAATGCATGTATAACTTTCCAGCATCATATGTAATTTAATAAATGTTTTAAACATATCCATACATGCATTAGGGAAATTGCTCAGTCAACGGCATTAAAATATACACATATTATTGTAGTGCTGAAGATACAATAAATTTTAGCTTTATAAATATTTAATCATCATATCACAATAGGAGGGCTGTAGTTGCCACAGGGGCTCTATATGGATTGGAAGCTCCATACATACATTAAATAGCTATGCAGCAATGATGACGGCTACCCTATATGCCTTTTTGTAAATGTTTAAACTTTGTAAATACTAAATTGTTTTAATGAATTAAGTAATTGTATGTACGATTATAACGTAAATATCCAATACAATTCGTATTTTAATTTCCCTGCACATATGTATACATTCCATTACAGGAACTGAAGAGAAGCACTTCCAACTGATGTTTTTGAAATAAGCCTAGTCTCAATTCATATAATTGGCTGTATAATACTATTTAATGTTCTGCATGATACCCATACTTTCAGCTAGTTGTTTATTAGGAAATGTCTGTTTGCTTAACAACTTTAAACGAGCATGATTCAATGTTATTGATGAAACTACAGCATGTTTTATTTGATAAAACTACAAAATTGCTTATTATCTTTTGTGTCAGTTATTACAGGTGGCATTTAAGTGTTGTTATGAAACTTATGCACATAGACTGATTAGGTGATTTATTTCTCAAGTTATGTCAACATGCACTGTTGCATTATTGTATCCAACATGTCATTTTTGAAATGTTATATTCCAGTTTTTATATTATGGTAAAACAAATATGTGGTAGAATATTAATTTCATCTTTAGTTGCTATGCAGGTCATTTAACACTACTGAAAAGTGTTACAAACAACAAAATGTTTTATAACTGACTGAAGCTCCTTTTATTGGATTAATAATATTAGAGGAATTATTTTCAATGTAATTGTGAATAAATGTTTATTAGATGTATTCAGAAAAATATTTTGCATTTAATCTATTTTTTCTCATAGCTCATATTTTCTTTCAGGTTCACTATTTATTAACTATGTAAAATTATAATTGCGACATTGGTAATATTATTATTAAATACAAATTGTAATATATTTCATTAATATTTTGTAAATATAACCATATTTAATATTGCTGGCAGTTAAGTCATACGAAATTAACTTCTTTGTAATTTAAAAACTTTAAAATTTAATAATTGAGGCATTTATTTTTTCTTAATTGTCTAACACACTTATTACTACCAATTAACAATCTTACCACTGCCACTACAAAATGGAGAGTCAGCAGATCCATCCTCTAAGTCCTGGAGTATTTCTTGTTTCCCCACATCCGAATCTCCGACCAAGAGAACTTTTAGTAGATAATCATATGACTTCGGAGCTGCGGGAGGTCGACCTACAATCAAAAACTAATTACGATATTTGGGTAAATTTTTACACTCAACTCAATTTATTATAAAAGACACAAATTTAGAAAAAAATAATTTCAGAATACATTCTACACCCATATCAGCTTACAATAGCCAACTACCAGTTCACTATTTGATTATAGGTTGTTCTATAGAAGAAGGCTAAAAATATGACAGTGTCTAGTGGACTAGTATGGGTCAAATGCTTTAAGCTGTCCGTATCGTCATTGCTCCTACACCATTAAAAGCTGCATTAGTAGACATGTAAAGACCATGGAAATACAATAATTGAACTTCTATAAGGTTCATAAGAGTATCAGTGTTTAGTGTCACAGTTAGTTTTACAGAGACAAACTGTAAATGTTTGTATGACACCATAAAGTACACAACATACTTTTTTACATAGTTTCTACAGGCAGACGGCTTATTCGCATTTCGTAAAACATACGAAAGTACACACAAAGTAGCATAAATTAAAGCTTATATTATTGCCAACTTTGCAATAGAATAATGCTACAATATACTTTACCTGTTCTTTGATGGTGGGACCGAGGTAACGTGGTGCTCCCATTCTGCGCGACTGCGTTAGTCGCTTGCTGGGGTGCTGCTACCATTCCAGTCGTGGTGAACATAATTCTGAAGTCAATCGCCTGAGCTCCAGGTGGTCGTCACCACACACGAATGTATACATAATACCGTCTAGAACTTATTCCTTAATGTAATCCATCAAGTTCAGCCTCCTCTTCACACCGTACGATAAGTCCAGGCCACAACACTTTACAGAAGTTCAATAAAAACGACACAAAATAACCACAATTTCTACTTGATGTGCCAACAAAAGTTGAATCTTTTGTACACAAAGTCGTTATTTATTACCGTCCCCACATGATTACATTTGTTAATCTCTCGGGATTCTGATTATAATATAACATTAAATAACTGTCTTTCGTTACTAATTGCCTTTCCAATTACGTTTTGGCGACACAAAAACAACCCAATTTTCACGAAAATATTGAAGTGAATGAATGACCGGATTGATTTTGCTTAAATGCTTTTTTCTATTAAGAGTTTCGGCTTGGATACAAGTACTTTGAGCCATGTCTTCGTTTAATATCGGGATCCTCAATCAATATTTTTCCATTGTAGTTCTAGTATACATTGTTTTCACTTTCTGTGATATAACTTAGTTTTCTTAATAATCTTGTAAGCAGCGGGAGTCAATATTTATGTTTTCACTTTCATTTAAATCTATTATTATTGTCAGACGCTAGAATATTATCAGGTGGAGAACTCAGGTGCAGCACGGGTCCGCAGCCGATTACAGTGAGCTAAGGTGGTAAGAGTAGGACTCTACACTCGCATCATGTAGGTGCTATTAGTTGTAGACACAAGCCAGCTCTATGATACCATATTATAGTTGATGAATTCATGTTTATATTCGAGTAATTTGTCGTGCCGTAGAAACAAAATTGCCGTACTGACTAAATTTACATTGGAGTTCTCAGATTTAATCTGAGATTCAATGTGACGTGTAATTTAATTAAAATATTATCAGGATTAAAAAAGTCCTACAAAATAAAGTAGACGGGTAAAAAATATATTCAAAAACTTAGACAAATATTACAGACCCTCATAAAATATTATCGTTTTTAATAATACAATAGAAAGGCACTTAAATCTTACAATTAGTAACATGTCAGGAACTCGTGGAATGACTTATAATTTTTAGACAATATATTTGATTTAATTAGACTCAATATGGCAGACTGCAAAAATTAAATGCGTTTATGTAGTTAGTATGTTTCGAGGCCTGGTATAGGGAATTTCCTGCTGTAGTTTTCAATTTCATTCTTGAGTGTGGCTATCTTATTTTTGAAATCAGCGTTTTCTTCTATGATCTTGTTAAAATCAGGCAGTTTCGGTCCGGAGACCTTGCTGATCTCTTGCGCAAGTTGAACAACTTTGTCGATGTAGTTGACGACTTCATCAATGTCAGCTTCTTTTAAACCTCTTGTAGTCAAGGCGGGGGTACCTGAAATAAATATTTCGATATTATTAGTTTATATTACGAAACGTTATAAATAGCTAAAATTACCTATTTCGACTCATCCGAAGAACAGAGTTCGATGTGATTATACAACGAAAAGAGGATAAATATTTATCCTACAGAAATACATATGTATTTTTAAATTTTAGTTGAATAACGAGATTATGTAATCTCGTTATTTAAAATAAGGCCTAGCTATAGGTGTTGTCAAAATTTTATGTATTATTTCATTTGGGAAACATAAAATCGATCAACGGTCGATCTAATATGTACAGCTAAGAACAGCAAGCGAAATGTAAATGTCCTGAGAATAAGCAGTCTTGCACATAGGTCTTTGTTCTACAGATGAGTCGATTTCAATGTTACACTGAAGGCGATAGTAGTTTTGTGACGACTATGTTGTAAACTGTTAGCTGTTACATATTCCACATAGAACTTTAAAATGAAGCCCGAGTGACCTTTGTGACAGCGTTCGACTTGGGTGGTTTTCACTACATAATTTAAAAAAAAATATTTATCATTTAAAACGTAATACACAACAATATTTCTAGTCGCATTTTAAACCACTAAGGTTCGTAGTAATGCGAGTTGTATCCACACAATACATTATGTTCAATTTCCTAACAGAAAAGTTTTGTTAGTATTTATGTAATTTGCATAATAATCTTTCATTAACCAAAATGATTATACAGAAATTGGATAAATACATTTATAAACAATCAAATTTATCGCAATTGATTAAGATGTTTACAAGGTAATTTTTAAGTTTACTTTTTATATTAGTGGTTGTTCAAGAATTACATCATTCTTGCGGTAACTAGTATATTAGTCGGGGAACAAGGTAGTTCTTTCGCCGTACACATTATTCCCGCGACTCGTCTGCAGCCGGTTTGCTAGTCACCGCTCGCGTACACACAGGATGATTTGTCACTTGTTTAAGAACGTTGTTAAGGAAGAACGTTTTTAAAAACATGCACTATATACATTGTATAAATAAATGTCAAAGGAATCTAAGATACTCACCAAGCCTAATACCGCTAGGGTTAAGAGCGCTCTTGTCGCCAGGTACGGTGTTCTTATTGCAAGCAATGCTGCAGAGTTCCAAGATGCGCTCTGTACGCGCACCTGTTAGGCCTTTACTGCGCATATCCACTAGCGCTAGGTGCACGTCCGTACCGCCAGTAGCAATGTCAAAACCACGAGACTTCAGTCCCTGGCATAGACGTTGGGCGTTCTTTATAACCTGTTACAGAGAATGATGGTTATTCGCTTACGATCAAATGGTGTGATTGGGGATCATGTGGTGAAGAATACGGATAAATTGGTCAAGTGAATTTTTCACGTTTAATTTGGACAGGTGTAATTATTTTCAAGGAGTTTGCAAATTTTCAGGATGTTAAAAATAAACCCGGTTTTTCTCTTAAGTCACATTCATTTTATTATATTTTGAAGGGTACAATTAAATATAAATGGATCTATAATTTTGAAATATTACGAAGAATAGTACGATGCAGGTCACCAACAGCAACATTCAAAGTATGTTATCATTAGCTGTTTCTTATTTTCAGTTTTTATATTTATCAATTATCGAATGTTGGTTATAACAATTGTAGTGCCTCTACCATGAGATTACAGTGACAGTTATCGGTAGCTACCGCGTAAAATGTTCGTGTACAAAATGTTGTTTCTTCTTAATAAATAATTTAAATCTTCTAAATGAGTAATTTACGCAGTCGCTAACGAAAACTGTCACTGTAATCTCATGATAGAGGCACTGGTCTTTATTCATTCCGTTTGACACTTATGTCAATAAACGGTATTTGTGAAGAAATAAATTTTGAATAAACAATAAATCAAGTATGGAGTGCTTTTATTAAAATTAACCACCTTCTTTGCAATGTTGAAAATATCGTGGTTAGAATCACAAACGGCTATAATGATAGCAGACGGCACAAGAAAAAAATGTGAATTTGAAAAGTTTCTCAGTAATATCCTATCAATTAAACAGTTCCAAGTATACAAATACCTGTTTCTGATATTCAACGAACTCGGCGCTAGTGGCTTGCTTCATGGTAGTGGCGATAGCTGCGATGGCGTTATTGTGCGGGCCACCCTGCAACCCGGGAAACACCGCCATGTTGATGCGGCTCTCGAAGTCGTACAGGACCTATAAAGAACAATTAAGTTACACTTATAGTCCATTTGTTTTGGCACTTAACTATATGTAAACAATCTTGAGATGTCTATTTATGATATATACATTTATTAAAGATTTTTACTTACCTTCAAATACAAATACTTAGCTTCATATGAAATTGCATGCGCATTTTTATACCTGTAGGGTATTCGTACATACATACATACACACATCACATACATACATCATACATACTTATTTTACATACTCGTTCATACACTAACTAATTTATATTATAATTACCACTTACCTTTTCCCGTGTCGTATTAGCTGTTCACGTTGTATATTGGAATCGAGCACTTCGAACTAGTTTCTATTGTTCTCGCGTGACGTAGGACCAACCGGTCCTAGCGCTGGCCGGCCATCCGCTTGCCCCACGCTAGTCGAGACCTACCTTCTACGCGACGCGGAGCTCACGCTAAAATTTACTTTGCTTATGTACCTTGCGCTTACGCTGTTATATACTGTTTCAAGTTCGATTCTCTTCACCTATCTTTTCTTCTTTTCTGACTGTATTTCTCGCTATTGCCTGTGCTAGTGCTTGTGCTAATTTCCTTTTTGTGCCTTCTGTATTTTGTGTTATTGTGGTGTAATGTCTACACGTATACTACCACACGTAAGTCGGACTATTTATATCTACCGCTTACCGGACTGTACGTCAACTGTACCCAAAACAACTACACTGGTGACCCTCTCTGAACACATATTTAAGGAAGCTTCGAGAAAATGGCCGAAGGCGGCGGAGACGGACGCATTCCCGTACGACAGGACGATACGTCACCCGAGATTTTTAAAGTTAGTATAAGAGTGCCATCATTTTGGCCAGAGGAGCCTGAGATATGGTTCGCACAAGTTGAAGGACAATTTACAATATCGGGAATTACGAGCGACGCAACTAAATTCAATTACGTGATCGGACAGTTAGGTTATCAATTTTCTATGGAAGTAAAGGATATAATAATTAACCCACCTGTAACTGGAAAATATGAAAAGCTTAAGTCAGAGCTGGTAAAGCGTCTTACTGCGTCGAAAGAGAAGAAGATCAAACAATTGCTTATGCACGAAGAACTCGGTGATCGCAAGCCTTCGCAATTCTTGCGTCATCTGCAGAGCTTAGCCGGCCCAAAGGTGCCAGATTTGCTTGCAAACAATTTGGACCAGTCGGCTACCTACAAGCATTCAGACGGTGCTAGCGGTGCAGCCAAAGGCGGACCTGGGCGTGTTAGCAGATTTGGCTGATAGGATCATGGACTTAGCTCCACCAACACCAAGCGTGGCAGCCACAAGCTCCACCCGGCCCGAATCCACTATGGGTAGCATGGTAAAGGAAGTCGCAGCGTTGAAAAAGCAGATAAAATCACTCACCATGCAGATAAACCGGCGTTCTCGCTCTAGATCTCGTAACCAACAGCGTGCTCGATCAACATCAAGGTCTCAATCGAACTATAGAAAATTCCCTGTCTGCTGGTACCACAATAAATTCGGCAGCAAAGCAAACAAGTGCGTGCGCCCCTGTGATTACAGCCAGGGAAACAGTCAAGGCAGTCGATAATGGCGACCGACGATTGCCCTAGCTCCACAGGTCGCCTGTTTGTTACTGATCGTGAAACAAAGACCCAGTTCCTCGTGGATACAGGGAGTGATCTCTGCGTCTTTCCACGGTCTCAACTTCGGGAACGTCGCAACAAGACCAACTACCAATTACGCGCGGCAAACGGCAGCGTCATTGACACATACGGCTATGCGCACCTCAAGTTGGGCTTAGGTTTGCGTCGTCAGTTTTCGTGGCGTTTTGTTGTGGCGGACGTAACTAAAGCTATAATTGGTGTAGATTTTCTATCATTCTATAACTTAATCGTAGATTGTCGTAATAAAAAGTTAATTAATAATACAACTACACTGACTGTAACAGCTTCACTTTCTCGTCCTTCAGACACCTGTGAAGGTCTTGACTGGCGATACTAAATTTCACAAAATTTTAAACCATTTCCCAGAGATTACGCGACCAGCTGGTATACACAGAAATACACCACACAACACTGTACACCATATACGTACCACATCAGGCCCTCCATTTTTTTGTACTCCTCGACGTTTAGCTCCAGACAAACTGAAGGTAGCAAAGCAGGAGTTCGAGGCCACGCTGTCAAATGGCACGGCCAGACCTTCAAAGAGCCCGTGGGCATCACCACTTCACCTCGCACCAAAAAAGGACAACGGCTGGCGCCCTTGTGGTGACTACAGGAAGCTCAGCACTCGGACGGTTCCTGACAGGTATCCGATTAGACACATTCATGATTTTACGCATTCCATATCGGGTTGCAAAGTTTTCAGCACCATTGATTTAGTAAAAGCGTATAATCAGATACCTGTCAGGTCCGAGGACATACCTAAAACGGCGATAAACACTCCGTTTGGGTTGTACGAATTCCCGTACATGACCTTCGGTCTCCGTAATGCTGGCCAAACTTTCCAAAGGTTTGTCGACGAGGTTACTCGAGGTTTAGAGTTTTGTTACTGTTACTTAGATGACTTTTTATTATTCTCCAAGTCTGAAAAAGAACATATGCAGCACCTACGTATCATTTTTGAAAGAATGAAAAAGTACGGCATTATTATTAACACTTCTAAATCGGTCTTCGGTGCATCAGAAGTAACATTTTTAGGTTACCACATTTTCGCCAATGGCACGAAACCTTTGGAAGCTAAAGTGCATGCCATGAAAGACTTCCCAGTACCCAAAGACGATAGGCAGTTGAGACGATTCTTAGGTTTTGTTAATTTTTATAGGCGTTTCCTGCCTCAAGCCGCTCAATTACAAGCGCCTTTCAACTCAGTTCTGATAGGTACCGTAAAAGACTCCAGTCCTATCAACTTGACCGGAGAAACATTGAAGGCATTCGAAGAATGTAAAAAGAACCTTTAGAATGCTGCACTTCTGGCTCACCCAAATTTAGAATGTAAACTCGCTCTGGTGACGGATGCCTCGGATACAGCAATTGGCGCGGTATTGCAGCAACTAACGGGCAATGAATGGGAACCATTGGCATTCTTTTCTCGACGGCTTAGCCCATCACAGCAAAAATACTCGCCATATGATAGAGAGCTCTTAGCCATCTATGAGGCTATAAAAAATTTTCGGCACATGTTAGAAGCCAGGCATTTTACGATCTACACGGACCATAAGTCGATAAGTTTCGCTTTCCACGAACGGAAAATCAATTGTACACCAAGGCAATATAGGCATCTAGACTATATTGCGCAGTTTACAACTGACATACGCCACATATCCGGCAAAGACAATGTTGTAGCCGATACCCTATCGCGTATTGAGGAACTACAAGCGCCAATTAGTTCAGAAGCCATGGCAGAATCTCAAGCCACCGATCCCGAATTAGACGATTTCCTTAAAAAACCAAATTCGTTACGCTTAGAGAAACGGAAATTACCTGGAAGTCATATTTCATTGTACTGCGATGTCAGTACGTCGACTCCCAGACCATTCATACCCCAATCGTTAAGGAAGAACATTTTTGACAGTCTTCATTCCCTAAGTCACCCAGGCCCAAACGTGTCTGCCAAATTAACAGCACAGCGATTTGTTTGGCCTGGCATAAGAAACGATTGCCGTAATTGGGCAAAGTCATGCGTACTCTGTCAACGAGCAAAGATAAGGAGCCACGTGTCCGCTCCATTAGGCACGTTCGACCTTCCTCGCGCTCGTTTCAGAAAAGTACATATCGACTTAGTCAGCCCCTTGCCCTCTTCCCATGGCTATAAATACTGCTTGACAGCAGTGGATCGTTTCACGAGGTGGCCTGAAGTCATACCGATCATCGATATAACCGCTGAAGTAGTCGCCAAAGCTTTGGTCTCAGTCTGGATTGCCAGATGTGGCTGTCCTGAAGAAATTGTTACAGACCGTGGTCGACAATTTGAGTCCGCACTTTTTAAAAATTTATCTCAGCTGGTTGGGTTTGAACACAAAAGGACCACAGCGCACCACCCGGCGTGCAATGGCCTCGTGGAACGATTCCACAGGCAATTAAAGGCGTCAATTGTGTGCCACGCAAATAACAGCTGGACAGAATCACTTCCACTCATTTTACTTGGCATACGAAGTTCTTTTAAAGAGGACCTGCAAGCCTCTTCTGCAGAGCTTACTTATGGCGAACCTTTAAGGTTACCGGGTGAATTCTTTGAACATTACCCAGACGGTAACACTGACGTAACAAATTTTGCCACACGCCTACGAATGTTTGCTCAAAATATTAAACCCGTTGCGACTTCGCGACAGAGAAGTAAAAAAATATTTGTTTTTAAAGATTTGGCTACTAGTGATCACGTGTTCCTTCGTGAAGACGCACTACGTACCTCACTACAACCAGCACGGGACCACACCCTGTAATTCATAGAGGGGATAAAGTTTTTAAAATACTACTTAAAGGCAAAGAAGTCACCGTATCTATTGACAGGTTAAAGCCAGCTTATGTACTTTGTACCAAAGAAGACTTAAATAAACAGAGCGCAATAATCCCTGAAGAAAGAGTAACACGTTCTGGACGTCGCGTACATTTTCCAGACTTTTACCGCCCTTGACCAGGTCTCTGGAGGGAGTGATAGGGTATTCGTACATACATACATACACACATACATACATCATACATACTTATTTACATACTCGTTCATACACAAACTAATTTATATTATAATTACCATTTACCTTTTCCCGTGTCGTATTAGCTGTTCACGTTGTATATTGGAACCGAGCACTTCGAACTCGTTTCTATTGTTCTCGCGTGACGTAGGACCAACCGGTCCTAGCGCTGGCCGGCCATCCGCTCGCCCCGCACTAGTCGAGACCTACCTTCTACGCGACGCGGAGCTCACGCTAAAATTTACTTTGCTTATGCACCTTGCGCTTACGCTGTTATATAGGGTGTCCGGTAATGAATGTATCATACTGAAATGGCTTATAGCACAGCTTAAGACTGTTCCAAAAAAAATACAAAAAAAAATCTATCCCATGTAGTACCTAAGGAATGTTTTTTTTTCTTAAAAGTTAATTATTTTTACCTTATTTTAGGTTTTTGTGCACTATGACTACAAATGAATGAATTTATTTGGTTTTTTGGTGTTATAATATTCTACGTTAACTGTGTCCTAAGATAAGCAGTAAATGGTATGACTAAGCAATGTACATTTAAAAAAAAAAAAGTTTAACTTCATTTTTCAGAGAAACAATTTATTTTTTACGAAGTTTACGCGCCTTCTGTATAAAAAAAAAGTATGAAAACCTGTGTGGCCAAGTACTTTAAAATAATGTAGGTTTAATGAGGATTCCAAAATGGTATCATATCTCATTGTATCTAATGTAAACATGAAATTATTGCTATTAATGTGCAAAAGGAGTAAATTTTACTAAATAACTATGTTTGCAAAATTGGACCGTTTCTTGTCCTGAATTGTACCCGACCAATGGGATTTAATAAAAAAAACATTATTAAACATAAATAAAACTTTATTTCTAATATTTACAGTAAATGTTCAAATTGTTTGCCACCGGCTCTGATGCAGGCTCTACATCGACGAATAAAAGCTCTATTAAGCAACCGTGTATAGCGTCGTTCACAAATTTTTAATGCGGCCGCACGGACGCGTCTACGTAAGTCTTCCAAGGATCGGATCGGTTTGCTGTACACTTCTTCTTTAAGGCAGCCCCAATAAAAAAAATCCAGTGGATTTAGATCCGGTGAACGCGGAGGCCATAAAATTGGCCCCAGACGACCAATCCACCTATTTGGATATGTCGCATTTAAATATGCACGAACAGAAACAGCATAGTGCGCAGGACAGCCGTCATTTTGGAACCAATGGAATTCCCTCAGCTCTTCAGGCACGTCTTCCATTAAATTAGGCAGATCATTTTGTAGGAACTCCAAATAACTTTGGCCAGTAAGAGTCTCCGGTAGTTCAAATGGTCCTATTATTTTTCCATTTAATATTCCCGTCCAATAATTTATTTTAAATTGGTGCTGTGATCGGTCTTCCCGCATAAGATGGGGGTTTTGCAGTTGCCAGCTATGAAGGTTGTGTAAATTTAAGTATCCGTCTCTTTTAAGTGTTGATTCATCGCTCCATAGAATTTTGTTAAAAAACTGGGGGTCTTCCTCTATCTTGGCCAGCATTTGTCGGCAAAAACGCAATCTTAAATTGTAATCTCTGGGTAGGAGAGTTTGGACGCGTGTGACATGGTATGGATAAAATTTATGTTTCTTTAAAATATCGTGCACAGTCGATTTTCCAATTCCCGTGCGTCGTTCTATTGCTCTCGTCGACGTGGAAGGATCTTGCCGAATTTCTTCAAGAACCATCTCTTCATATTCATCACGAGGTGCTCTTCCAGCGCTAGTGCCACCAACACCACTACCAGGCATTCTTCCTTCTGAGTAACATTGGTGGACTCTTATAAATACGGCATTAGATGGGTGACGTGCGTTAGGGTATCTTTCTCTGTAAAGAGCTTCAGCTGCTCTTGAGTTGGTGCCGCATTCCCCATAAATAATATGCATGTTTGCATATTCTTGTGGCGTATACTGAGTACGTGGCATTTTTATTCACAGACACAAAATACCTGTTCAGTCCAGAAACAAGCCAAGTCGTCGCAAATATCACCAAACAAACAAAGTCCAAATCAGTAAGCAAAACTATAGTCCAGTAAAATAGCCAGGTCGTAGTTGAACACTGATTGAAAGCAAATCGCAAAGGAACAGAAAACACGTGCAAAACCGAACAAATCGAATGATGCACTAAATCCTTTTCGTTTTTTTATACATTTGCTGTTAATTGTCACTCTTTGCCTCTGGTCCAACTCTGACCATTCTTATCGTATGAACAAAAGGCAGGCGGAATGTGGCTATCGCGCAGGTGGCAAATAACGGTCACACGTGGTACTTTAAAGACAACAATTGAAAAATTACTTTGATTGGATTTTTGCATAATTTTGCTGTAAATAAGTTTTATTAATGCCTAATATTATTTTTTTCAAAACTCAATACTCAAGAACAATTCAGGATACGAAATGTTCCAATTTTACAAACATAGTTTTTTAGTAAAATTTACTCCGTTTACACATTAATAGCAATAATTTAATATTTACATTAGATACATTGAGATATGATACCATTTTGGAATCCTCATTAAACCTACATTATTTTAAAGTACTTGGCCACACAGGTTTTCATACTTTTTTTTTATACAGAAGGCGCGTAAACTTCGTAAAAAATAAATTGTTTCTCTGAAAAATGAAGTTAAACTATTTTTTTAAAAAAATGTACATTACTTAGTCATACCATTTACTGCTTATCTTAGGACACAGTTAACGTAGAATATTATGACACCAAAAAACCAAATAAACTCATTCATTTGTAGTCATAGTGCACAAAAACCTAAAATACGATAAAAATAATTAACTTTTAAGAAAAAAAAACATTCCTTAGGTACTACGTGAGATAGATTTTTTTTTGTATTTTTTTTGGAACAGTCTTAAGCTGTGCTATAAGCCATTTCAGTATGATACATTCATTACCGGACACCCTGTATACTGTTTCAAGTTCTATTCTCTTCACCTATCTTTTCTTCTTTTCTGACTGTATTTCTCGCTATTGCCTGTGCTAGTGCTTGTGCTAATTTTCTTTTTGTGCCTTCTGTATTTTGTGTTATTGTGGTGTAATGTCTACACGTATACTACCACACGTAAGTCGCACTATTTATTTCTACCGTTTACCGGACTGTACGTCAACTGTACCCAAAACAACTACATACCTATTGATTTGTAAAGTATATGTTTCAATAAAAAGATGTATCAAGATTGTTTACATTTAGTGTAGTACCTAAACAAATGGACTATAGTACTATAAAATAACTACTTAGTAATAAAAGGCGAATCATCGTCATTTCAGCCGAAAGACGTCCACTGCTGAACATAGGCTCCAAAGATCGCCACAACGACAGGTCTTGTTACTGTTTGCATCCAGCGGATTCCCGCAACCTTCAGTCGTCGTTCCATCTTGCGGGTGGTCTGCCCACGCTGCGTCTTCTGGTACGTCGCCACTTAAGAACTCTTTGGCCCCATCCGTTAGCTGTTCTGCGAGCAATGTGCTCCGCCCATTGCAACTTAAAGCGTGAAACACACAGTGAGCGGGTGCGGGTCGGGACCGCGGCAGGAATTCCGTGTAAATATGGACAACAATACACTGAGCGCGGGCGCGAGACGGACGCACGAGCACGAGCAGATAATGGTCCATATAAATAGACAGAATTAGACCAGTCGCGGTCCCGACCCGACACGCGCCTGATCCGCACCCGCTGTGCGTTTCACGCTTCAGTTTTGCAACTCATTGGTATGTTGGCTACTCTGATTCTTTTGGAAATATCCTCAATCTTGACTCGATCACGAAGTGAACCTGTGAAGTGACTTTCTCTCTCTTCTCTCTCTTCAGCGCCCACTGGGGAGCGGTAGGGACCACTTTGAGAAACTATGATTTAAAAGTTCATAATACATGAAACTAACCTTGTCCCCATTGGGCTTAACAGAACGGACGCCTTTACGGAAGAAGATGACGCCAGCACGCGGTCCACGGAGCGTTTTGTGAGTAGTTGTCGTTACTATATCGCAGTACTCGAACGGACTTGGGATTACTCCTGCAAATGAAAAATTTTAGGCTGGTTTCACAGCTGTGCGTACGGTCCGTACGGACTGTCCGCCTACGGACCGTCCGCATGCGTAGAATCCGCAGTGCTCTGAATCGAGTATTTATGTGGCATAACATTCTATGCTGTTAGTTCGTTGGGAAACCCATATGTCATGGTGCCATTTGAAGACCCGATCCCATTGAGTGATGTTTGGACGATTACATCTGATAGTAGTGGGTGTAAATTACATACCGGCAGTTACAAGTCCAGAAATATGTGCCATGTCAGCCATGAGGTAAGCACCGACGTCATCTGCGATTGCCCTGAAGCGTTTGTAGTCCAGACATCGCGAGTAACAACTGATGCCGGCGATGATCAATTTCGGTTTGAATAAGCGAGCTGTCTCTGCTAATTTGTCGTAGTCTATTAGCCCTGTTTTTGGGTCCACCTGAATGGCAAATTGTTTATTGTTATTAGACTATAATATAGGTATTTATACAACCACATTTGAAATATATTTATGTGTGTTTTGCCTTCGTTCAAATCTTGTTATCTTCTAACGATTGTAGTACTTATTTTACTTATTTATTTATATTGAAGTTACAAAGACTCATAGATACCTGACAGCCTAACATACATACATACTAATACAATAAAACACTATTTATTTACACGTATGGACTGCGACGTGAGACGCAACGTGGGTATCCGGTAACCGTCTTCAGAAACGCCAATACATGGCACTCTTCAGAAAAAACTCCTCCTTCATGAAGGTCGACAGATGTTGAGTTGGTACTCTCACCAAAAATGAATTAAATATATAATGTTGATATTAAAATCTGAACAATTTAAAGTGAACAGGGAACTCTTCAAAGCTGAATGAAAAAAGTCAAGAAAATAAAATAATATTGTTGTTTTGCGTGACTTATTTTTATTTCAATAAACTATTATTACTAAAATATATTAATACTAAGCCCTTGTACACTCCCGGGCACCATTTCTGCTAATTTTGTCGAAACTACTGCTCATTGTAATTCCATTGACATTCCACTAAGATTATATTGCAATTATGACAATATTTGTTATTCTGCTAAAATCTAGTTGCAATAACGGGTGAGTCTCATTATAGTGTCAGTCGAATGGCACCTATGGTATTAAATCACTAACGATCGATATTGCCTTACCAAAACTATCATGGAAATTACTATGAATATTTTAATAGCAGTAGTAGTAGTAGTAGCTTTTTAGTAGCAGTAGAGCTCTGCAGCCAAGCAGTAACGTCGGCATTACTGTGTTCCGGTTTTGAAGGGTAAGGAGCTAGTGAAATTACATGCACATGGGACTTGTCAACTTATGTCTCAGGGAGACGGTTGCAGTGGCAGTGCGCCTCAGATCTTTGCGATTTAAAGTTCTGAGTGGCACTGCAATTGTTAGGGACAGGCGTGGTGAACCATCAGGAGCACGACTTGCTCGTCCCGTCACTTGATATTATAAAAAAATAAAAATATAGTTATCTAGTTTAAGCAGCAGAATACATTTAATTTGAATACTTTAGTATTCAAATTAAATGTATTACTATTACTGAATACTAAAGTATTCAAATTAAATGTATTCTTTTACGTCAAATAATTAGTAGACTACGTCATGGAAATGCCACCGCCGTCATTGAGAGCTGAGTGTCAAAAAATTGCAATGGCAGTTGAATAGTAGCGCGATGGCCAGCCACTGAGAAGCCCCTAATCTTAACTTTTAGCACAACACTAAACTTACAAATTCCTGCCATTGACACGCAACTGAGATGATTTAAGATTAATAGACTTGAGGCCCAGGGGGTCGTATAAAAAATAATAATAATTTAAATTAATATTAAAAATAATAAAGCCGGGATTTTGTTCATTTTTATTAATTTATTTTAATGCAAGATTAATGCATTCCTATATTTTAGTCCTAAAAATGTATACAAAAGGATTTTCACTTTTCTTATAATCTATTTCACCGACTAACTCGGTAAACGCTGTTGGATAACGTTATCGTATCCGAGTCAGGGGTCTACTCCCCTTCTCCGTCCGACATCCGTCCGAAACAATTACTGTCGAATAAGTAATACTCGACCAAATTAAAAGACAATGTCAAGTATGAAGTTTATCTTTTAATTTGATCGAGTATTAGTTATTTGACTGTATTTTTTTCGGACGGATGTCGGACGGACAACGAGAGTACAGAGCCAGAAGCGAACGTTTAACTCGAATGTTCTGAATAGTTCGGAAAGCGCCCTTCGATTAGAGAGCGATATCTAATCGAACGATTCGGTTAAAATATCGAAGAATTCTGAATCGGGGAGGTCCAGGAGGACACATAATTCGAGCACCTTGCATTTTCAGTATTAGCTTAAAAAAATGTTGGATTGATCAAAAACTATTATCTAATGCAATTTTGAAGCTGGTATACCAAGCGGCATTTTCGTATGTCTTTGTTGAAAATTTCAATTTGTATAACCAGGGAAAATTTGCAATATTTTTGTATTCCAGTCCTTATAAAAAAATGCAACGTATTTCATATGATGTATCCGGGAATATGTTATTAGAGTAAACATCTTTCATTTGTGTAAACCTAAAAGCATTAAAAGTAATTTTGAGTTATTTCATGCAGGTCATTCATTATTTACAGATAGTGTAATCATTATTATTCAATATCACAAAGATAATTGTATTGTTTTCGTCATTACCACAACGATGTTATTTTTATTTTTTTTCTCATAGATAAGGTCTACTCTACTAGTAACCAGTTAAATCATTTTGTAAAAATAAACTGTGATATAAGTAATTGCAAGTTTTCACATATTTTGATAATCACGCCATGGTGACAAATGGCCACGAGTATCTTGAGCGTAGCAACAAAATAATAGATACGTTTTTCAGAACGGTCCAATAAATCGCCAACACGCAATTGAGAGCTTTTATAAGACGAAAGAAGACGCCCATGTAATTTGGGACAATATATTGTGTCGAATGTACCTACTGACATTGGCAATAGTGAAGCCACTAGAACTTTTATATTATTTTTACAATACTTGTCAGCATTGAAGAACTCTTAAAAAAGGTACATTCAATAAGAAGGTTGTCTAGTGTTTTCAGGCATTAATAAAATACAGTACTGATGCCTTACCGTTGATATAACTACACTGCAACGTGCGTAAAATTATAGGTAGTGAAGTAATGTCGTGTTTACATAGAGTCGACAGCCGTCTCCGGCGACAACTTCATCTCGCCGAAAGACAGTCCGACTCGCTGTTTACACTGAGTCAACTGCCGCCTCTTTGGCTAGCGAATTCGGCTGACGAAGGAGGGGCAGTCGACGCACTGTTTACACCTAGTCGACTGCCGTCTTCGTTCAACGAACTGATTGGGTTGGTAGAGTTACTCTGGCCCTCAGCACGTGCATTGTAGTGGGACGCAACCGCCGACGTTGAAGCTTGTTTGGTGGGCCGTAGCTTGCCGAAGGCGATCGAGTCGCCGGACTGTGATAACACTTAGTCGACACGGTCGGCTACAGTCATACGACGACGACAAAAGGCGCGACAACGTAAACGACTTAGTGTTTACACTGGGTTTGCAGCCGCCTTTGGCGGGCAAGCAGAGGCGACCCGTCGACCTAGTGTAAACGCGCCATAATTCTAGTTGCGATTTTTCGAGTCTACTGCACTCCGTTACAATGATTAGAAAGGTCAGCTTACTCACCTTGTAAGGCATACTTTCGAAGAAGATGGAAGTGGCAGATATTTTCTTGGTGGGCGTGAAGAAGCCGTGAGTCAGATGACCACCGTCGGGTAAGTCCAGGCCCATGATCCTACCGTGGGGTTCTACCACGCCAGTGTATACCGCGAAGTTCGCAGGAGAACCTTTGGTGATCAAACAAATAGGAATATATGCAATTGTTATTAAAATTATTTAGAAAAAAAAATGACTGACAAAATATGTAATGTATGTCGGATAAATACGTAGCGTCTTTCGGGCTTAGTATTGCATGTAACTGTTCCATAACCAGGTTCACGGTCGACTTTGCGAATGTTTAACGAGTCCATGGTATAAAAACAATGAATATTGTAATTTATTTTGCATTTAAAAAAAATAATAAGCTCTTGTAATGCATAAGTAAGTACTAATTGTAAATACGTATAACTGAAGCATAGGTTTTGATAAGTTAATAGCTGATTAAATATAACGTTCCCGGCCGACTTCCTAGATTTCCCATAAAAACCTCTTTGCAAGCCTTTGCGCAGGACTGTTTCAATTCTTCTATTGCTATTATAGGCTTTGGCAGTTGTGTAACGACCATAGAGCAAATATTGACTTACACTACTTCTCGGCAGTAAAAATCAAGCGCTTACTATTGTCACCTTCCTAAAACTCAACTTATTTCTTTTTTATGTTGTTGCTTATATTTAAATAGTTTAACTTTTTGTTTTGTAAGTGACTTATATGGTTACTTAATGTTTACACTTTTCTTTTTGTAAATATCTTTTAGTACTCTGTAATAATTTAATGTGCATGTAGTGTATGTCGGTCTATAATAGATTGTGCACTCAGTTTAAGATTTTGCATGTATATTTGTGATTTTTTATTGGAGTGTTTAGTAGCAGTAGAGCTCCTTGTGAAAGAGTTTGTCCAGGGAAGTATTGCCAGACTGCCACCTTACCTAGTTCTGCCGCCAAGCAGTAATGTCAGCGTTACTGTGTTCCGGTTTTGAAAGGTAAGGGTGTTGGTGAAATTACAGGCACATGGGACTTGTCAACTTATTATATGTCTTAGGGTGACAGCGCAGTGGCAGTGACTCTCAGAACTTTGCGATTTAAAGCTCGTGAGTGGCATGACTGTTATGGACAGGCGTGTAGCTTACCATGAGGCGCACGACTTGTTCGTCCCGTCACTTGAAATTATAAAAAAAAATGTTGACTGAGCAAATAAAATAAAGAAATATTTACTACGAAGCTGAAAATAAACGATTTTTGTAACATATTATATGCTGTGTTGATAAGCATTATCTTTATTTTCACATTAACCTTTCTTATCTTACTTAAGATGGCCCACGCGCATCGTAGGGGGCTGATTATTATACTATCGGCTAAAAATATTCCATAACATCACTAACTTGACTTAACTGAACTCTGATTTCTAATTATGTCAGAATAGACTATTAATATAATATCTCCATTACGATAATATAAATTACGTACAGGCTATTTGTTTCGGTTTGGTCCACAGGTAAATGTACCCACCCTAAGGCAGATTTAAAGGGAGAGTAATTTTTGCACTAAATGCATATTGTGTATCAAGTATCTACTGCAATAGCGCATAATTATAACTCAAAATTGACCATAAGAACATGTAAACACGGCGTATTTTATAGACGCAGACAACATGCGTTTCATGAACGTGCGTTTACGGCTCTGTAAAGGCTGAAATAGTTATTTATTATACAAGGCAGCAAAGTTGTTGTTTGACGCGAGGAGCGAAGGAGTCCAAGACTGAACCACGAGCGAAGCGAGGGTTTTAAGCCACGAGACACAAAACAAATTTGCTGCCGAGCGAAACACACAACTTTTCACCTCACTATTGCGAGGAAAATGGTAGATGAAAGAAAAATAGTTGAACTACAACAAATCAGTTTTAATAAACAAAATTAGTTATCGTTGTAAATTTAATGTCAACAATAATAAGAATAAAATATACCAACGGTTTTATATTACATAAATAATGTACGACATTATTATATTTATGTAATATAAATCGGTTGGATTTACATTACATAAATAATGTACGACGAATCGTGTAGTTGAACGTGTCATTATGTCTTTTTTTCATCGAAAGAAAAAGTTAGGTGCACCACAGTCCATCATCAAGTTCGAACTTTAAAAACCTTTTGACTTCTAATGAGGTAGAAAGTCTTTCCGAGCTAGTGAGGTGAAAAAGCAGATTGTTGCATTTCTATTATATACAAAGCTTTAGTTCGTCTGCATCGCGTTTTACGCGCGTTTGAATGGATCAAGAATAACAACGTCGTGTTGGAATGTTGAAATGTTGAGGAAAAGGGCGGGGGAGGGACGCATTGTCTGTGTCACCTAAGCAGATGACGCATTTTTGTACATTTTTTCTTTTTTTAAAAGAATATGTGACGGTGCGAACAAGTCGTCCACCTGGTGGCAAGTGACACGCCTGTCCATAACAGTTGCAGTACAATTCAGTGCTTTAAATCACAAAGATCTGAGGGGCACTGCCACTGCGCCAATCACCCTGAGACGTAAGTCGACAAGTCCCAAGTGCCTGTAAGTTCACCAGCACCTTACCCTTCATAACCAGAACCCAGTAATGCTCATATTACTGCTTGGTGGCAGAAATAGGTAAGGTGGCAGTACTTCCCTAGACGAATTCTTTCACAAGGAGCTCTACTGCTATTAAATATACTACTGTTACTGTATAGCTTTGTACGCACGTTTGTGTTGATACAACGCAACAATCTGCTTTTTGAGCCTCTACCGGTAAAACATACACCATGTATGCTCTAAGATACCTTTACGCACGGACTGGCATTTGACTTTTATTATCTAAGTGGTACTAAAAGCACTTGACAGTTATTATAACTTATAAGCCTCCGAAATCAAGAATTGACTCTTTCTTAAATAGTAATCACTTTCCTGCTCCGATTTTTAAAAATTGTACATTATACTTTTGTAGTAACCTACCTACCGACCTACAATTAATGTATATTTGTTACCCCATTAATTATAATATACAATATAACTCTAACGTTTGTGTGTGCCTTCATCGTTATTTTCTTAGGCTGTGATAACTCAATTATTATCGGATTGTCGTTAGAAAATTCGCAATTTACAACGGTCATAAATAATGCAGTTACGCACTTACAAAAGCAACCGCAATTTTGGTATTGCTAGTAAAAACAAAGTTATGCAACACTGGTTTTGTGTACTTTAGCTGTTACTACTATGAACAACAACAACGAAAATGCATAACATATTGTCTACCTATCTCAATTTTCATTCAACTAAACAACCGTTACTAAGGTTGTGGTTATAATACTGTTTATTTTGGGTCTTTATCGGCCATCATGCGATCGAAGCTGCGTATGCGAAATAGCACATGTTGTGGCGTTGTCGTTTTTTAATATTTAATAATTTGATGGTTATTCTAAGAATATGGTCGACGTATCTACTGTTGGGTAACTTTTAGAAAATCGGAAAAATTGCGTCTCCTAATTGTTCTATGTTTATCTTTTGAAGTTTTGTTTAGTGTAAATTATAAAATAAAATTGTGTAGCTAAAAGCAATTTAAGAGTAAAACGAGATTTAAAGTAATTTAACAACAAGAAAAAATCTCCGTAAATAATGGGTCCGTCGTTTCCGTTCAGTATCTTCAAGTTTCAAATATGGAAAAATATCGCAAAAATATGAATTTTACAAAACGGAAATTTTTCCATTGACTCAATATATTTAGAAGGACTTTCAATAATATGAATTGAAAAAAAAAGAAAAGGAAAACATAGTCATGAGAAATTAGCATGAAGTTGGACATTTTTGAACCAAAATGTCTTCGACCTTGTGTTAGCTAGAAATTGATAAATCACGACTAGATTGATTAGGTCTTAGATCATGTCTAGGAAATTTCATTGAGTCATAGTACTAAAGAGAATCAAAGTCTACTTTTTTAAAAAGCAGGTATGCTAAACTGTTGTCTTAAACAAGCTCATGCTTCATAAAAAAATTTACTGGTTTTACAGATGTAGTTAAATTTTACAATGCATACCTGAATATGGTTGAACATTAACCCCCCATTCGTCTGCCTTCAATCTAAAGGCTTCCAAGGATCTCTTCTGAGCCAGTATTTCAATTTCATCTATGAATTCATTGCCTCCATAGTATCTGTATAGAGCACAGAAATAATATTGTATATTAATGAATTCAAAAGTTATAATATACCACTTTGTATAGAGTAATTTAAATTTTAATAAGAGATTTAGAGGATTTACTCTTGATTCTCAAAATAACATTTGTTGTTTTGCTCCCAAAGTAAGTAAGTAAAGCACTTGTGTTATGGAAATTAAAAACAATGACAGTACCACAAACACCCAGATCTGAGCAATATAGAAAAATTAGTTTTAATTGCTACATTAACTCAGCTGGTGAGAGAACCCGAGACCTCAGAGATGGCGACACCATGAAAACCGGTGCGTAAGTCACTCGACCACAGATATCGTTGAATGAGGGTTTTTTACTACTTTTTTTCGACTTTGTAAGAACCGGGAGAAGATAGAAGTGCACAATATCTTGGATATTTACTGAATTATTACAGACAAAATTGAAAATGAATTATTTTGGTAATAAACCTTTACTTCCCCACTTTAAACTTTATTTGATGATTGTAAATGTACTTGTTACAGGAAATTATGACTATTACCAAGATGTTTGTATTTGAACAATGACACAGGAAATGGTGTTATGTTCACAACACTTTCAACAAACAATTATTAAATTTGTTTGTGAATCAAGAATATTATACCAGGTATATATGAGGCCTGGTAGACTTTATACATATAAATAATACATGCATCTTTGTGATCTGATTCCAAAGTAAGTGGGTAATTTTCAAGTTAGGTTTTTCTTTCTAATTTTTGTGGCAATTTTCATTATTTAAATATTCTAGAATATTATCATGAAGTATAATTTAATACTCGTGTGTAGTATCCTGAAATATTATATAATATTTCACAATAATATACCCCAATACTTACATGATAAAAATTGCTACTTAAATTAGGACTAACATGAAAATTACCCAAGTAACTAAAGCGCATTTGTTATGGAAATCTGAAACACGATGGTATCACAAACACCCAGATCCGAGACAATATAAAAAGATAGTTTTCTATATGGACTCGGCCAGGGATCGAACCCGGGACTTCTTTAGGGATGCTGACGAGTGCAAGCCACTAGACCACGGAGGTCATCACAAATAAAATAATTAATGCAAAATAATATTTGAAAATAAGACAGTTTTTGTATAACAAGATTTTACAACTATTGGTATAAAACTTTGAACTCCAAGTTTTACCTCTGATGTGGCATGCCTTCAGAATACTTATTATGAAGACAAGAGCTGAGGCATTGCAGTACAGGCAATGATGTGAAGTTCTCCGAAGCAATCATCTCCAGGCCCGCCCGCTGTCGGTCCTTTTCCTTTTTCATGATCTCAAATAGCTCAGGGTCCACTTCCCACACGTTACTATACAACTGTTTGCTACTCATTGTTACGGTACTTGCGTGACGTATGGCAAAATTCTGAAATTATATTAAATTTTCTTAGATCCAGTTGGTTTTAAGTTATCGAATTAAAGAAAATGAGGTGTTTACTATACTTTTGTAATTATTGCAACTTTTTGTTATATTGACCTAACCTACGCAAGGGCTATTACCGACTGAAGAAAATAACAATATTCCACTTAGCAAAGAGGTCAAAGAATTGCCCTCACTCTGATATCGAGATAGCGCAACCGCAAACAAAAATTTACTTATTTGTTTCATCAGTTACTTCAGACATAAACATGTATAAGGGATATAATGTCTATCTTTGTAGCATGATTTTAAGAACGACGCATTTTCCTTATTCCGTGTTATACAAATAATCTAAAGATTTCCATAATACTTACATGTTATAGAATTATTTATTTATAATAATTTTAAAATCGTATTTAACCTAAAAGAAATAATACGCGGCATGTGCAAATTATTTTATATTGAATGAACTAAATATACCATAATACCATACCATATTATGCGGCATAGTAAAATGTTCAATTAACTTACCGTAGAGTAGATATTCGCCTGCACTTTTTGAACCTTTTCTTTTGGTAATTCCAATGTTAATCTGTTCAACCTTCGCACTACGTCGTAAAGACGAGATCGTAGTAATTTATTACTCATTTTTTACTTTTATATGTGAAAAATTATTAATAATATAATGAAAAAAAGCAGATTTTTAGTGGTTACACAATTTTATATTTATCAATGGTGATAACCCATTGTGAACTTTAGAGGCAAACGTCAAGTTGTTGACGTAAGAGTATTTTAAAATGCACGCGGTACAGGCAACGGTTACACGGTCGTCAGCCAACGATCGAATGCGAACGATCGATGTTATTGCTTTTCATGTATGAGTTGGGTTCGTACCAAAAGTTGTTACAACAACATTGTTTGGACTCCTTATCAAACAACCGTCTCATTTGGATAAGTAGATACTTACTATAAGTTAATTAAAAACATACTTAGGCCAAGTAGGCCACGTAGGCCTAAGTATGTAGGTATGTTTACATAAAGCTGAAAATCAAAAATAGTTTTACTGAACCTATTTTAAATTTTTCGCTTTAATTAACTGCCAGTTTAGTATTGAATGTTATTCAGGTAACAATAATTTATGTCATTTCTAAAGGTGACCAAAATTGTTTTTTTACTATATAACCGGTAATTACACCAACATATTGTAAGTATTATTAACAGAAAAAGTAAATAAGGTAACCTAAGCAAATAAAGGCCCTTGGGAAATCGAAAGCAGTTTAAATTCATTTCAACGCAACACGCACACTTGTAGAACTTTCCATCCTTTAAGTATAGAACAGACGAATAAGAACGCAATTACGTGGATCGTGTCATCTACACATCGAGCATGTCTATATATCGAGACGAAATAAGGGCCATATATTCCTCAACATATTAGCGATTCAGCTCTTATAAATATCAACTCTCGTTTGCACTGAAATATAGACATATTCCAAAAAATATTCTGTATTTATTGTAATAAAGATATTATCTCTAACAGCCGTGCTGTTCTATTCGGTGGTGTGGGAAAAACAGCAAAACATCTAATTACAAAACAAACGGAATCACATTTCATCGGTAATTAAATATTAAATATGTAATTTTGCAATTTTCGTCCATTATAGCAAAGCTCAAGTTAACGATTTGAAGTGAAACAATTGACGACACACATTGACGACACCTATCAATTGTTTCGATGTTAATTGACGGGCTTGACAATCGTAGCGCAGTTGTCACAGTAATGATACGGCAGAATAGTTTTCAATTAAATTAAATGACATTTCGTCTCTTTCTGGTTATACACGATGCATCTACATCACCATAATTATTATCAAAAACGAGTCGCTCGCGCTTTTTTTCTCACTATTGGTTGCTATAATGTAACTTTAAAATTGATTCAAATGGTGTAATATATAAATACATATAAAATAGTGTAATGTTAAATACGGCCCTGAACGTTCACTGAGGCCCGACAATGAAATCGTTTAAAAATAGTAGTTTAGTATGTAGTTTATTAGTGACTGTTACATAATGAATTTGATTAAAATACAAGTGTGAGTTTATGAAACGAGCCGACAGGCGAGTCTCATAAAAACATCACACGAGTGTTTTATTGCCTAATTATGTACAGATACGTACACTGCTTTATCTATACACATAAGTTATAAGCTCTATAAGATGCGATAAACAACAAAACAAACTAAATGGCGACAAATAAAAACTTGTCACGCTTGCACGCTACCGAATTTATTTTCTAATTCAGAGACAAACTAGAATCGGCCCAAACTCTTACGGTGTGAGAAATTCTCTTTATCGTTCTGTCGATATCGTTAGATATCAAGTAACGCGTGAGATTTGTTAAAATTGATTGCTATTGACATTTCGTTTCGAATGAAACTTCATCTCGACTGATATTAGAATTGAGGTCGAATCAAATTGTTTTGTTTTTCAGAGATGTTCGAAATTTGAATGCAATAATAAAATCGAATTTCATGTTATTAATACGCATTAATAACATTTTCACAGATAAGAAATTTGTTCTAATAAAACAGTTTATCTTTATGGTGGTCGTAATTTGCGGTTTTCGAACATATCATAGAGGGTTTAAAATTTAAAATGTGTATTTAAAATTTTTCTGAAATCATTAGTACTTAAAATTTTTCTGAAATGTAAAATTTTGTACAAAATTTTGATTATTCGCAATATTTTATTTATTAGTCAAAAAAAAAAAAACTCAAATTATGGTGATTGAAACAAAGTTTGAGATTGCTTTGTTACACTGAAGAGTTTGAAAATAGGGTTTGAGTAATACGTGTCATAGTTCTTGTTTAGCTTTATAAGATCGAGTTCTATGTGCAGTTTTGTATTTAATGCATTTTAATTCTTGATGAGGTGTGTAATTAGTAATTACCACAAACGACCGAATTACGATTAGGGCCTTAAATGACATACAATGTTTAATAATGCTCAAACTAAGGGTTTTTACATGTAGCAAGTAGTAGCAGTAGAGCTCCTCGTGTAAGAGTTCGCCCGGGGTAGTACTGCACCTATCGAGTATTACTCAGAAATAGAGACGAAATGTCATTGACTTACAATTATATGGACGTCGGGTCCGCGCTAAAAAGTGTCCGCACTTGTAAGGCGCTAAAATCGTATACAGAGCGCGACAACGAAATGTCATTGACTTACAATTATATGGACGTCGGGTCCGCGCTAAAAAGTGTCCGCACTTGTAAGGCGCTAAAATCGTATACAGAGCGCGACACTCCGCTTTAGTCTTCATTTGTTCTACCGACAGCGCGATACTGCGATGACATTACAATTTAAATTTCGAATAGGTTGACTTGGGACATTTTTTTCGTGGTTTTTGTATTAGACCCGTCGTCCATTTATTTGTAAGTCAATGCGAAATGTCATGTAATTTGTTTGAAATCTATTCTGCTATATCATTACTGTGACAACTGCGCTCCGATTGGCCAGCCCGAATTCGGAACAATTGACGAGTGTCGCCAATGGGTGTCATCAATTGTTTAACTTCAAATCGACCAGTTAACTCGAGCTTTGCTATAATGGTTGAAAATTTCAAAATTACATGCACTCTTTTGCCAAAAAACGGGGACCTAAGCAAATAAGGTATTTGACTGTCACCTGCAGTAAATTTTATTATTTAACTAACTGGTATCCTCAGAATCTTAAAAGTGAATATGCCGAAAATGGTTTGAGTAAATTTTTTCTATTAGTTTCGATTAACTAAATGAGAAAATGTCGTTCTAGTGTCTGTGGTCAGTGAAATACTACTCGTTAAGTGAAATTCAAATTCAAATTCAAATTCAAACATCTTTATTTCGACCAACTGGGATCATAGTCAATGTTAGTTACATTTTCTTATCCTAAAGTTAATAATACACCCCTGAAGCTAATTAACATTTACATAATATGCGGTTGACAGAGCTTTAGTGAGGCTTGATTTTCAGTATATGGATCATATGACAATGATTCAGATACTGACAATCAAACCTCTCCGCAAATGCTCTCAGGATACCACTGGTGCTGGCCCGCACCCTACACACCAGGGATGTACAGCGTTTCCTCACAGTTGTGAAAAAACAATCAACTCTGGCATCCGCGAACATCCCCGAGGCGCTGCAGAAGCGAGGCAATAGCACGCTGAAAGCATTGTTGTACTGCACACGTAGGGCGTTGTACTGTTTTTGCGTGTAAGAGGCCCACAAACTGCTCGTGTATAGAGTCGTGCAAAAGGCTCTAAATAAAGTTACTTTTACTTCAGCCGAACAACGAGCAAATCGGCGAGCCACCATGTTCGCTCTAACAGACAACGCCCTCCGTTCTCGCTCAATGTCTGCATCATCCCTCAGGTCAGAGGTCAAAATGTGCCCCAGATATCTAAATGTATCCACCCTTTTTAACGGCGTACCAAATAGCCGGATAGGTGGTACTGGTGGCAGACTCTTGCCCCCGACATGAAAGACCATATACCAGAAATAAAAATTAAAAGATTTTTGTTTTTTTAATAGTGTAAAGGAAAATAGGTAACAATTTAATAATGAGTGTGGCCTCCTCTTGCCAAAATCACAGCTGGTATTCTTCTAGGCATGCTTTCGAGGATATTGCTTATGACCTAGTTGAATATTTTCCCATTCCGTTCCGTTCCCATTCTGTTTTGTGGTGCTGTCTTTTTTTTTTTGCGCGGGGAAATCGTCCGAGGATACCTCTCCGCCGCGGGGGCAGCGGGAGGTTATGCCGGACTTCTACCGGCTATAACCCCACGGTGGCCTTCTCGGGTGCTCTAGTGGTGCTGTCTGCGCTGACCTTACCTGTCGCTTCAGAACGTCTCAGACATGCTGGGTTGGATTGAGGTCGGGACTTCAAGCTGGCCAATGCAAACGCCGGATTCCAACCTCTTGAATATACGCTTCCACATCGCCAGAAAGGTGGGCGCGAACGTTGTCATCCATAAAAATGGAATCTTCTCCAAGAACAGTCAATGCGGGTCGTACGTGAGGAATTAGAATCTCCGTCACGTATCGGTGTGCATTCAATGTGTCATTTTCGATGAAGACTAAGTCCGTACAGTCCATCGAATGAATCGCTGTCCAAAACATAACGGAGCCTCCAACATAAGGGGTAACTTCTTCAAAACACACGTCTGTAAAGCGTTCCCCTGGTCTTCGTAGAACAATACTCTTCTCTAGTCCTCTTGAGTCCATGTAGCATGGTTTCTAGCGAAGTTAAGTCTAGCAACTTTATGCTCACGGAGTAATTTAGGGTCACGAGCTGTGCGATGACTGCGTATATTGGCAGCAAGAAACCTCCTCCTGATGGTCCATAGGCTAATTTGTGCTCCTCTCACTTCATCAAGCTTCTTCTTGAGGTCCACGTATGAAGCTTTGCGATTTCTTAACGTCCGGCTTACCAGGAAGCGGTCATCTCGTGGTTCGGTGCATGGTTTTCTTCCAGAAGTTGTCCTTCTATTGACGAAACCGGTCTCTTGATATCGTTGTCAAGTCCTCTGAACTGTCGAACGACTCACATTCAGCCTCTGGGACACATAACTTTGAGAATAATTTTGTTCAAGCAGCGCTTTAATTTTGCTGGCTATTATTGTTTTGTCAACCATTTTAGAGACCACTTAGTAATGGTACAATAACTTAAAATGATGAATTAAAAAGATAACTTATCAAAATTTATTTATAAGTGACTAATTAAGTAGTTCATATGAACTTTCAACAATTCCCGCCGCTTTATGCAGTGAAGAGTTATTTTCTTGTAGACAGGTTTTATCTCTTAAATTTGAATTTGGAATGAATATTTTTACAAATAGCCGCGTACTGACTGAGCGAGCAGCCTCGCGAGGCTGCCTCGACCGAATCCGCGCGATGATTTGCCGCGCGAGGCTGCCTCGCTACAAAAATAACCGTCACGAGGCTGCCGCGCGAGGAAAGGCCGAGCCGTATACAATCCGAACATCAGTCAGTTTAACGCGATACGTCGAGATGAGACCGCGCGTGCGAATTGCTGTAGCAGCTACTGCGTTTTTACTGGTTTATCGACTTACAAAGAAAAAGAAACAAAAATCTAAAAGGTTTTGGGTCAAAAAATTATATGAAAACAGAATAGAATGTGGGAATATATTATATGAAGATTTGGCTTTCGATGATGAAGAACATAATTTTACACGAATGTCTGAGGGCGAATTCGCAGTACTCTTTATCTCTTGTAAATGACAAAATTAGTATGAGAGACACAAATTTTCGCAAAGCTATTACTGCGCGAGTAAGATTATTGATAACGTTAAGATTTTTGGCAACAGGAGATTCATATACCTGTTTACAATATTTATTTCGTGTTTCAAAACAAAGGATATCAACAATTGTTCCCGAAGTCTGTGATGCCTTGATTGAAAAATTAAAGGACTATGTTAAGGTACGTATAATAAAACATATTGTTTAGACATATTTTTTATTTCTATTTATGCGTGAGGTGGCGGTGATATTGAGGTGGAAGGTATAGGCGAAGGAGGCTTTGGTGAGGAAGAAGGCATAGGTGAAGGAGGCATAGGTGAAGGAGTCATTGGTGAAGGAGTCATTGGTGAGGTAGAAGGTGTAGAAAATACAGGTGAAAGAGGCATTGATGAGGTAGAAGATGTCGGCGGAACAGGCATCCATGAGGTAGAAGAACTTGAAGGGGTAGTTGATGAGTTATCTGAAGTAGAATATGTCAAATCATAGGTTGACTACAGTATTCTGTGTTTGGCACATACCGTTGGTGTACACCAATATCGGCTTCAAAAATTATCTTACAGATAGAATTTTTCACACACGCCAAAGTATAATTGTCGTATTTTCTTAGTTCGTGAGCAATATATTGCCCAAAAGCATCGTACGGATCATTGGCAAGTGGCTGTGGAGCATTAGTGTCGCCTACACATCGTTCTAAAAGTTTAAATGCTGCGGCTATAGTTTCATCTGCCGATGTATCTTGTACAGCTGTGGATCTCTTTATAGCTCTTGTTTTTTTTTGGTGTTTTTCGTTGTTCATCATCTGGTGCTTCTTGGCTCTGCGATTGCTTATTATTACTACACTGTACTTCATCCTGACCTTCATTCTGTAAAATTTAATAAAGCATTATATTTTCAGATACCATCAACTGAAGAAGAATGGATCGCGATTGCAAACGAATTCGAAAACAAATGGAATTTCCCACATACCATTGGGGCAATGGATGGCAAACATGTCGTTTTACAGTCGCCAATAAATAGTGGAAATGATTACGATTGTTACAAATTATTTCCCATTATAGTGCTTTTTGCCCTAGTGGACGCCAATTACAAGTTCTTATATGTGGATGTTGGCAGCATGGGTCGTATTTCAGATGGTGGAGTGTTCAAAAACACAAATTTATATAAAAAACTTGAAAAAAAGGAACTAAAAATTCCTCCACCGAAAATTTTGCAAGTGCCCTATACAGTTGATGTACCGTTCTTCATATTGGGTGATAAAGCATTCGCATTAAATGAGTACACATTGAAACCGTTTGAAGGTACTCCAGAAAGAGGTTCAATTGAAAGAATTTTCAATTATCGGCTTTCTAGAGCAAGAAGAGTAGTGGAGAATGCTTTTGGAATTTTAAGCTCAGTTTACAGAATATTGAGAAAACCTTTTCTACTGGAACCAGAAAAGGCAACAAAGGTTGTTTTACCATTTGCTTGTGTAATTATTTGCGTAGGAATCAAAATTCGAATGCGTAGGAATCAGAACACTGTTCACACCACCAGGATATTTTGATACTGTGGTAAATGGAGAACTTGTACCAGGTAGATGGAGGAATGACTCAAACATGACATCACTGTTACCTATACAAGCTATATCACGAAGAGGACAAGGAGACGTAAAGCAAATTCGTTTGCATTTGGCCAGGGATTTTATGACAAATGGTGAAATCCCATGGCAAATAAATTATCAATAGACACTTACTTGGGTATGAAAAGTATCTTGCGTTTTGCCTGGATCATTTCTATCTCCCATAAAGCTGAAAGCTCCATATGCATACCAAATCGAAATATACAGCTCGTGACGACCTTAAAAAATATGAATTATTGAGTGAGGTACTCACCAAACTTAATAAAACGCATTATGTCGGTCACGAAAAGCTTCTATGTCCATGCAAATAAGAACGGCTATGCAATGCGAAAAGCGCAATGTCTTTTTAGCTCTTATTTGCACGGACATAAAGGTTTTCTGAAAGGCTTAATGCGATTCAATGTCAATATGTTTGGAGACTCCCTGACTCGACACAAAAAACGGGACAACTGTATTAAAAACTCTTCAACTAAAAAATAATAAAACTTCAAATGTAAAATTATTGTGAACTAAAAATGCGATAGAAAATAAATAAAAACTTACCTGCTCCTGTAACCCGACTTTTTTTCTCTCTTGATTTTTCTCGTCGGTATGATCCCATCAAAGATTCCATATTCTTTTTCAGATCCGCTATTGGGAGATTCATTTCTCGGCCTATGTTTCTCCATGCATCCTCCCTTAGCCCTCTGTTGTTATAGTCTTGACATTGCGCGTCCCAAAGAAGTCTGTAGTTCCCATAAAGCTGGATAAGTTTTAAGCACAGGTCCTTGTCCATGTTGCGAGTGAGCGAGGCACACAACGTCCGTCCTGAGTGAGCGCGGCAAGTGAAATGAGGCACCTTTGAGCATGTCAAAAAACCGACACCGATCGGATCGGCCGCGGCGGTGCTCGGGCGAGGCCGCGCGTGCGCTTGCCTCGGGCGAGGCGCGTATTGACCGACCGAGTATTTGCCTCAGGCTGCTCGCTCAGTCAGTACGCGGCTAATGAGGACACTTAACTATCAAGCCAGTGACATTTTTGAATGAATAAAACCTTTTTCGTATTGTAATTGTTTCAGACAAGGAAAAAATCAAAGGTGTCCGTTTTTTTGCAAATGAGTTCATTTAATATTTAATTACCGATGAAATTTGATTCCGTTTGTTTTGTAATTAGATGTTTTGCTGTTTTTCCCCACACCGCCGAATGAAATAGCACGCCATTGTTAGAGACATTATTTTTATTACAATAAATACAGAATATTTTTGGAATATACGGAGACTTACACACGGATCAGTTGTTGGCTCTGTACTATTTTAGTTTTCTAATTTGTAATTTCAGTGCAAACGAGAGTTGATATTTATAAGTGATTTATCACTGATGAGTTACCAGGAATGTATGGCCCTTATTTCGTCTCTATTTCTGGTTATATACTCGATGACTGCACCATACCTATTTCTGCCGCTTAGCAGTAATGTCAGCATTACTGTATTCCGGTTTTGAAGAGTAAGGGTGCTGGTGAAATTACAGGCACATTGGACTTGCTAACTTATGTCTCAGGGTGACAGGCGCAATAGTAGGGCCCCTCAGATTAGGAGCACGACTTGTTTGTCCCGTCAGTCGCACAAAAAACCAAAAACGCACTTTATTATTCGAACGTTTTGTCTTATTTCAAAATAAATAAAGTTTTGTTTGGAATATAGTACAATCAGTTCAACAGTAAATCAAAGAAGTAATAGAATTTGATGTTACATGGGCATTGAGTATATAACCAGCAATAGAGTCGAAATGTCATTAAGTTTGTTTGAAAACTATTCTGTCATATCATTACTGTGACAACTGCGTTCCGATTGGCCAGCCCGAGTTCGAAACAATTGACGGGTGTCGTCAACTGTTTCACTTCAAATCGACCAGTTAACTTGAGCTTTGCTATAATGGACGAAAATTGCAAAATTACATATTTAATATTTAATTACCGATGAAATGTGATTCCGTTTATCGAGTTCTTAGGTTTTCGCGATTGTTACACATAGGAAATGAAACTATTTTTCCGGATTTAAATCGTGTTTTTCAAACAAACCGACGTTCCAGGCCCTTTACAGGTGTCAGTCAACCGTGACCATGGGACTTGTAAAGGGCCCGAAACGTCGGTTTGTTTGAAAAAACAAATATACGCGATTTAAATCTGGAAAAATAGTTTCATTTCTTATGTGATTCCGTTTGTTTTGTAATTAGATATTTTGATGTTTTTCTCACACCACCGAATAGAACAGCACGGCGTTGTTAGAGATATTATCTTTATTACAATATTTTTTGTAATATACGGAGACGTACACACAGGTGAGTAGTTGGCCTGTCTATATTTCAGTGCAAACAAGAGTTGATATTTATAAGAGCTGAATCGCTAATGTGTTACCAGGAATATATGGCCCTTATTTCGTCTCGATATGTAGACATGTTTGATGTGTAGATGACACGACACACGTTTGCGTTCTTATTCGTCCGTTCTATACTTAAAGGATGGAAAGTTCTATAAGTGTTCTAAAACGTTCTTCCCATATATATTTTTTTTTGGTTAGAATTTCTTGAACAATTTCGACAATCTACTATATATTAATGTCTTTAGGTCTTTGGCATATGTAAAATCAATGTGATTAAATTTTTTGTCTGGAACTACATATGCATCAACCACATTTGGTAATGTTTTTTGTAGAACATTGACGTCGGTGATGTTTGAAAACCAGTCTTCCACGCTGTAAAATAGAGCCACTGGGCTCGTCACCCTTTCCACGTGATATTTAGGAGGTACTTTTGAATTATACTTCTGCATATTTTTTTTGGTACCATAGTCAAATTTTTGAAACTCTCCGGAAACAATTCCTTGCCCATAATGCACAAGTTGTTTCGTAGATGCTCCTGATGGAATATGTGCGTAGATCACAGGCAAATTCGTAATATTTAATTGTTTGTAATTAAATCCACATAGTAGAAACAAAATATTAGAACATATTAGTTGTGATAAGATCACATTACCACACATTTTCTTTTCTATTGATTTAATTAAACGATTACTCGGTAAAAATTCGTGTACACCTATGAACATAAACATAGCATGTATATATGGATTAATTGGAGCAATAAGACGAAGAAGTGGGCTTTTCACATGAGTCATCCATACCACTGGGGATAGCGCTACCATGAGTGAAATTTTGTCGTTGTAATCTGGTCGCTCAGAGGCCATAACGAAAAAGGACGTTGTTCCTTGTGAAAAACCAACATACTTGAGCGTTGGTTGGTTGGTAACACATAGGATATAGTCGATCATGGCTGGGAGGTCGATGCGCCCGATTTCATTCCAGCTGAAGTCCCAAAATGTTTCACGGTCTTTGTCTGGCGATAGGCGTACGTGGCGCCTAGAGTGTTTGTTACCTCGGGCGTTTCCCATCCACACGTCGTAGCCATCTATCGCTAAGAGATAGGCGAGTCCACTATCAGGTCCCGGCGTTATCCAATCATCGGCGCTGCCCAGTAAACCATGCATCAAGAACACCGTAGGGCCGTTTTGTGGGATTCGAAACATTGTGAGGATATATCCATCTTCAGTATGAGTTTCGTGTTCCTCAGTTTGATAACCATACTTTTTTATTGATTGTGTTATATTTAAATTTATATCTTCGCTAAGAGATCCGCGTGCGAATTCCTTCTTGTAGTTTTCGGCTGTTTTTACAGGTACATTGTTTAATAAATCGAGTTCTTCTGTATTTATACCTGTGGCTATCAAAGAATCTGTCAACAGATTTTGATTGGAAGTAAAGACGTCCACTAAACCTGATGGTGTCAATGTGCTTCCGCCGTAAAATGACCGCATGACTGATAGGTGGTGAGTAGTAGACGTATCTATTATTTGCCAAATAATTAAATAATAAAAATATATAACAATTTGTAAAACACTCGCCATGTTGAATGACTGACTATCGGAGTCAGAATGAATTGTTCAGCGTACCAGGACATCCGGAGGTAATAAGGTTTGATGACTATTGATGATCCATGACAAGTTTGTGAATGACGAGTTAGTTCAGTGGCGAAACTAATGATTAATGAAATTCCATTGATCATAGGATTCAAGGTTCTGTAGTAAAGTTAAGTAAATTTGTTGCAATATTTTGTTATTTATCTTTTCAGTAGCAGTAGAGTTCCCTGTAAAAGAGTTCGTCCAGGGAAGTTCTGCCACCTTACCAATTTCTGCCGCCAAGCAGTAATGTGAGCAAGAGGTGCTGGTGAAATTACAGGCCCATTGGACTAGTCAACTTATGTCCCAAGGTGACGGGCGCTGTGGTAATGCCCCTCAGATCTTTGCGATTTAAAAATCTGAGTGGCATTGGAACTGCTATGTATAGGATTGTCTCGTGTTTCAAAGTCTCCGTTTTGGTTATCTTGTATTTTTGACAAGTACGTAGGTATTGAGACGGATATATTGTTCGTTTACTGCACCATCATGTCGCCGTTTTCGGTCGATTTTACCAAAAAATTTTGCACAACAATTTTATTTGAATAAAATTTTGCAATTTTATTTCAGACCCTGATGGCTGGTGGCCAATGCTCTCATTACCCTCAAGGGAGTACAACAGAAGGGGTGGTAGGTAATGATCAAGACCTGTTTTTATATCACCTGACAAGTTATATCGGAATATAGCTTCCATGTTTCACTACGGGTCCTTAAAAAATGACCAAGCGAAAAACAATCCTATAAAACCATTTAGATTAACTAAGCAATTGTATAAAAGCTACTCGTGTTATGGGTTTTAAATGACAATTACGCTTGAATGGAAACAATCGCTGATGTGTGTTCATTGTGGTTACATTTTTTAGTTGCAACTTGTCTAGGTATATACGATATTTGTCAGCTACAGGATATTTCGGTCTTTCCGCGGTTTTCGTATACATAATTGTTTCTAATATCCGCTAGCCGTTCTTGGTATCTTTTATATTTTATCAAATACGTTCTTACGCTACCTATGTTCTGAGTGGAAAATTATAAAAATATGAAACGTGAAAATTAGGTAACTTATTTATTAGATAATAAGTTAAAATATACAGGTAAGATACAAAAAAAGCTGAAATATAGAAACTAAACCTAGGATTAAATTATATGAATAAAACTGTAACAGTATCAGTAAACAGTATCTTGCCAGTCCAAGATGCTGGCAGCGTTCCCCCTTTGTGTGGCTATGCTAATACGTTGGACAAGGTAGCTACCGGCTCTTGCGTTTCCCAGACAGTCCATTTATTTTTTTGATAAAATTTTGTACAGATGAAGGGCACCAGGACCTCCGGGCCAAGGGTTTTGACTCTGTCAAAGGTTGTAAATAGGTAATTGGAGTCGAGCTGCCGTCCAATAATTAAAACCTGGCTAAGTGACAAATGGTCAAATAACCATTTTAACTAGTAAAAAATGGAGCACAAAATTCCCTCTTAAAAACAGTTAAAATTAGTTAACATGTTCGACTTATCGGAGCTTATCCTAACGATGCATAGGTGAAACATCATTAAACAATTTCAATATTCTAAACCTGGGTACCTATGATGTTTTATGATAAATCAAAAAAATATTTTGTCACTTAGCCGCGTTTCAGGTAGTGAATGGCAGCGAGGTCCTAGTACTTTTACTCTTCTTTCTTTCCGTCAGCTCAGGAAATTGCAAATTTTTATTTTAAATTTTTATTGAATTGATATTCAATTATTTTTTGTGAAATCACTCCACTGGTTTGTTATATTTATTAATACAAAGATCGAACACTCAGAAAAAATTCCTTCGATCCGGCCAGATTCGAACCGACGACGTCTTCTAGCTTACCGTGTTAGACGCTATACCAACTGAGCCACGGAACGAACCAGCGGACCTCACGAATCTTTGTATTTTTTGGTTGTTTCAAAGACTTTTTAGTCGTAGCGCCATCTATGAGAAATCTATGACAGTTTTATCACCCAGTTAGATATCTTTACAGTTACCAGTCCTGGCGAGAGATGTCGCTATTCACTGTATTTAAAATTTTTATTTTTTGACACGTTTTGTATTTCACACATTGTACTAGGACACTTACTAAAGAGCAGTGTTCGTGAGGCTCTGCTTTCGCGGTGAACCATTTTAAGCCCGGATGCTCTATTGGCTTACTTTCGTTTTGAAGCTACGTAATTCAGTTCCCTTAACTCTGAAGTCATAGTCAAGCTATTTAAACAGAACGTACCTACAAGGTGTACTTATTATGTAGTGTACTTATGATGATATTCTTTGGTTGCACCCCTTTTGCATATCCGAAATGTCTATCCTAAGGTTGCCTGGAAGAAATTGCTACATAGCGATAAGGCCGCCTGTTGCAATTGACTTACTACTACTATTATACTTAAGCTATTATTGTATTTTAATTGTAATTTTATGCGCAATAAAGAATATTTCATTCATTCATTCATTCAAGGTGCTGCTCTATAAGACATGGTCATTTGGGTGTTACTTTTGTAGTGCAGCTATTCAAACTATCACGAAGTTTCGCTTTTGAGTGAAGTTATTTGAACTGGAGTGTTTATGGCGCTTAGACTTTGTACATAAATTATTTTAACCGGGGTTTTCATAGTGTTCATCTTCACAAGGAAGTAATTTCAATGATAATGGTTATGAGACTGTGAAGTTTTTTTGAACCATAAAATTAGTTCTTGGTAGGTATTCGTTCTTTAGAAAGTTATTTTGATTGGAATAGTTTTGGTACACTGAGCTACAGGTGAAGTTGACACATTGTCACTCTTTTATAGTTTAAATTAAAACTTTACGTTATAGACGTACCTAGAGTGTACACATATGTTCCTAAGAATATTACAAGACTAGGTAATACTCACTAGTACGGAGAGATGGCGAAGGCAGTTCGCTGCTCGCCTGATCCCCTAGTGAGACCAGCGGGCTCTGGACAGGGACTCCAGAGCCTGCATTGCACGGCCTCACTCGTCTGGGGGGCGGGTCGGAGGACAACTGACCTGCCCCTCCGTTGGCGCGGGATCCCTGGCGCAAGCTAGGGCGGCCGGGCGGCGTCGTGGTGATTGTGCACCGACCCCACGGCGCCGACTCAACCGGCGGGAGGTAAACCCGGGGGGGTTTTAGTGGGGAAGGCCCTCCATTATGGAGGGAGAGTCCCCACATAACCCCTGAGTCTCCCTGGGCTCAGGGGTATCTATAAAGATTTCCCACCCGTAAAAAAAAGAAAAATAAGGTAATACTCACTATGTGTATAAATCAGATTGGTCGTTCGTGATGGCAAATTCAGGCAAAGCAATTAATTTTTTTTTTCTTAAAAGCCCCGCACTAGAGAAATTTCTTTTATTTTTTTCCATCCTCTAAGAGAGTAACTGTGTATCGCGGGTGCCATGGACACGCACATAGACAACCACAAATTACACCCAAACTTACGAGAGAAATAAATGTAGGCCATACCCCCCTCTTTCCCCCGGACCGCCGCAAGGTGTAGACGTTTTACTGCTCTGTTGCCATTTTATTCCAAAAAAGTTTAAATTTAAATTTGTAAATTAAATCCGAAGTGAAATTAGGGATTCATAAGTGTCTAGGAGTTACGTGACCAGTTCTCACTTGGATCGATGTGTGCGTAGTGCTTTCAATAGTAAATTGTGATAGTGTGCAAATTTGCGCAGCCGCAGGTGGATTTACTCCTACTAGTGCAATATATCGAACTTGTTACCCGCCCTTAACGCTACCGACACCTCCCTCAACTGTGACGTCGATCAATTAAGTTGTGTGGGCGGTGCCTTCTTAAGACTGTCTCCACCTATGTGCAAGCGCTTACGCAGCTTGTAATACAAAGTGCTTACGCAGCTTGTAACAAATTGTTGATTGCTTTTATATTCCTAGTACAATATGGAAGAAAATCGCAACGCAACCGTATCTGACTTTGACATGTCGATTTGTATATCGGAAGGAGACAAAAATTCATCTCCTACTGGTCATGGAATCCTCCGCCAGCAGTGTGATCAGCAAACACAACTGGATGAGCTATACTTTGATGACAAGACGACACCTCCGAACTTTGTAACTTTGCGCCAACAAAATAAGGATACACAACCGAATGACTTACTGAGGGACCAATTAAATGATTTTAAGGAGGAGATGAGAAGATTAATGACATTTTTTACAAATACTCAAAAAAGTGAACTCCACTATGAAAGAAGTACAAAAATCGAATATTAACATTGAGAACTCAATTGAGTTCCTAGCCTCGCAAAATCAAGAATTGAAAAGCCGTATTGCGGTGCTAGAAAATAATGCTAAGGACGACAGGCAGTATATATCGTATTTGGAAAATAAAGTGGAGGACCTTCAACTGGGTAGCCGCAAAGCTAACTTCGAGATAAAAAATGTCCCTAAAAAGATGATTTAATTGAAATGATTGCTTGCCTATCAAAAACGGTTAACTGCGAAATTAAGAAAACGGACATCAGGGATATTTACAGAGTACGTGGAAAGCCTGAACAAAGGAATACACCAATAATTATTGAAACTAACTCGGCTGTATTGAAAGCTGACTTCCTGAGAATGACTAAGACCTTTAACGTGAAGAATAATAATAAGATATGTGCTAAGCACTTGGGAATCAAGACTCAAGAGGACACTCGAGTTTATGTATCAGAGCACCTAACTGCCCATGCTTCACGTCTGTTTTTCCTGGCTCGAGACCTCAAAAAGACTAAAGGATACAAATTTTGCTGGACTAGTTACGGTAAGGTGTACGTTAGAAAATCTGAGCAAACACCAGTAATCGTAATTAGAAGCGAAGATCAAGTACACCAACTTATATCGCAATCCTGACTATC